GCTCCCCTAATAAGCCCCTATTTAGCCACTGCAATAAATCACTGAACCCAGCAAAGATGTAGAGTGGCATGGGAGGAACAAGTGGTGTCAGAATAGGCATAAAAAGTATGGAGCAGAGAGGCATATGTGACCTTGCTTTCTGGCAATACGGAAGCCAGAGAAGGTCAGTGATCTCTGTCCTCTGTGCCATTTTTGCAAGTGGAAAACTTAACAACTTATCTTCTCCCTAGCAAATTAATTAGAGGTAAAGATTATTTTCAAACTATATATCCAACCATTTGATTATACATATACGAAGCACCTGTATATGACCTACAAGTACACATACACACACATACTGTTAGGTGCTATCAAACAGGTTCCAACTCATAACAACCTTACAAACATCAGAACAAAAACACTGCTCAGTCCTGCACCATCCTCACATTGTTAAGTTTGAGCCCATTGTAGGCATGTAGATACTACAGATACTATCCCATCTTGAAGCATTCTTTTTGATGATGAACACAACACCATTCCTCTTTGTCATTCCAAGAATAGTAAACCATGTAATTTCCCAGATCAAAATGACCAATACCAGTGCACTTCAGCTCAATAATACTGTGTTAGGCAAGGTTCTCTAAAGAAACAAAATCAGGACATATATGTATAAGAGGATAGGTTTACACAGCGAGAAGGAATATAATGGCTAATTAGTGCACACAGCAGTACAGAGGTCCCAGTTCAACTCACTTTCATGGAACAGTTAATATAATGAAGGTCCTTCAACTCACGAGGGCTGCGGGTACAAGGTCAAAGAAGCAGAAAGCAGAGTCTGCCTTCTGGCAATACAGGCAGGGTGGGACAGTAACAGTCAGCAGTACCACTTGTCTTTTCTGTAATACTGGTGAAATTTAGAGTTGACCAAGTAGTACACACACATTAAAATTTTAAATGCTCCTGAAAGTTGCACGAAGGTGCAGTCTCATTTCTCCCTGTTTCTGTGACCCTAGAAATCATGCAAGATAATCAAAGAATTCTGACAGGTGTTAAATTTAGAAGGCAGACTGGCTAGGGACCCCAGAACTGGGAATATCACAGCAGTAGGGTGTTTTATGACATCCCTCCCCAGTTCAATAGAAGGCCACTCAGACCAAGCATTTCCAAAACCCCCCCAACACTGCTCACTCCAAAGTTGGCGGTGCCACCCAGTACTACTGCCGAAGAAAGGACCTGGCAATCGGCCTCTAATTACTACCACAGGCTTGAAAACGGTGAGAGAGAAGCGACCCATTATACGCAGAAGAACACCACTTGCATGGCAGCCCATTTCTCACGAAGGAAGCAGCACAGACTCCAGCGCTGAAAGAAAAGAAGACCCAAATCCCACTTCTATACCCAGTGGAACTATCCTATGGGAATGAAGGAGAGAAGGGGCTGCCAGATAAAGTTAAGCTAAATTTAGTAAGCCCACTGTCACAGAATGGCAAAGAGAACATCTTCAACCAGAAATGAAAGAACAAAAGAAGGAAGCTGGAGGTGAAGCTAACCCACGTCGCTGTCTTCTCGGTCATGCCATGTGCATGTGGAACCCATGTCGCTGTCTTCTCGGTCATGCCATGTGCGTGTGGAAGCCGTGTAACAATAACAAGGAAGGCAGAAAAGAGGCGGATGCAGCTGAATCGTGCTTCTGGAGAGAAACACTGACTGTGCCACAGGAACGAGCCAAGTGAGTCTTAGAAGAAACACAACCGGAAGGCTCCTGAAAACGGGAGGAAGGCCAAGCTTCATCTTGCTCTCTTGCGACACTTCATCGGCAAAGACCAAAGGAAAAGGGCACCACGTTTGGCAAAATAGAAGGCGAGCAAAAACAAGGGAGACACCGAAGAGATGACTTGATACGATAGCTGCCAAGAATGGGCTCAAACAATGTGTTTTTTTGTCTTGTTTTGTTGGCCTTTTCTGTTATACATAAGATCACTATGAGCGGAAGGTGGCCTAAGGGCAACTATGAACAACAATGTGTAAGTAAATTTGAAAGTGTAGACATAAAGGGGTAATCACCTGGAGAAATTCAGATTATCAAAAGTGATCTCCTCTTGAGGGCAGGCGACAGCTTGAGCCGAGCAAACAATAAATACCAATTAAAAGGGAGAGCATGTACCCTCTCGAGGCCAGTAACATTTTAAGCCAGTAACATTTTAAATATATAAAATAGACAATACTTGCATTTAAAGGACAGAGGTCTCCATCAATGCAATGATGTTGACCAGAGACAAAATGCCCAGGATGTTATGAAACTTTTTCAATACAGGCCATAAATATTTCCAAAGAGATATATGATGCTTATGTAGCTTTGGAAGTTTTAAAAGCATATGGTTTTAAGCAAATGTAGTGAGGTTGCCCAGCTAACAAAAGATGTAGCATCTGGGGCTTAAAAGCTTGAAGTTACACAAGCAGCCATCTAGCAGGGAAGCAAATAAGCTCACATGAAAGAAGCACACCAGCCTGTGTGATCATGAGGTGTCAACGGGATCAGGGACCAGGTATCAAAAGATCCAAAACAAACAATTATATCCATGTGAATGAGGGGGGTTGGAGTGGAGACCCAAAGCCCATCTGTAGACAGCTGGATATGCCCCCACAGAAGGATTATAAGGAAGGGACGATTCAACCAAGGTGCAGTATAGCACCAACGAGATTCCTCTAGTTCCTGAATGCTCCCTCTCCCCCACTACCATGACCCGGTCCTACCTTACAAATCTGGCTAGACTGGAGAACACACATTGGTACAGATAAGAGCTCTCGACACATGGAATTCAGGACAGATAAACCCCTCAAGAACAGTAGTGGGAAAGATGATATTATGAGGGTAGGGGGGATGGTCAGGGGAGGGGAAGGGGGAGAAAGGGGGAACCCATACAAGGTTGGATATGTAGGCGCCCCCCCCAAAGGGGCAAATAACAAAAATGTGGGTGAAGGGAGACAACAGATAGTGTAAGATACAAAATAATAGTAACAACATATAATTGATCAAGGATTCACAAGGGTGG